TAGACTGAGTTGAGCCTCCTCAAGCCTAAGAGCTTCACCGCTTATGCAATAACTGTATTCCGAATTTTTTTCGAAATGATAATAAAGAATTCTCATTTATAAATTTTCGATTTGTACAAACTTGAGTTTGGGTCATTGAATGAATACAATTAGCGAAAGAATGAATGACTATTCTTGAAGTTGTCAATTCTAGAAAAACACATCTAATCTGATAAAAATGGCTTTTGCAATATTCTACATCAATCATAGTAATAAAAATGATTAGATCTCAGCTTTTCTATTATATTTCATTATTCTCGAATAACTTCTATTCCACTTATCATATAGATTTGCATTAAATATGAATAGTGAATTTTTTTCCTATTTAGTTGATTTTATTGGAAGAATCATGGTCAGAATTATTTCTTCTTGGGGCAATACAATGTTCCACATCATTGGATAACGGAGGTCCAATTTTTTGTAATGTACTTCATTGTGAAAATGAAAATGAAAAATTAATTAATGATCTCTTTTATACTTTTAAACAATTAAAACTTGATCCCATTGAATTTGCTTGTCTAAAAACCATTGTTTTATTTCGATTTGGTAGAATAAATTTAGTTCTTTTTTTTTTATGAACAATTTCCTTTTTATAGATATTCAAACATTGAGTGAAGTTAAATTAATTGAAAATTTACAAGATCAAGCACAAATAACATTAGCACAATTTATACAAATTCGTAATCCGACACAACCAGCACGGTACTTAATTTTTTTTCATAATTCAAACGAAAAAAAGCTTTTTTCATATTTAGTTTTGGTCGATTGCTTTTAACATTACCATTACTTCGTAGTATACCATCAATATTCATTGAAAAAACTTATTTTTCACATACAATTGGTAAAATATCTATGTCAAAATTACTTTCACACATGTTTAAAAATTAAAATATGTATATATGTATATTGAAAAAAATACTAAGCAAACATTATTCTTTTGTTTATTTAACGTTGAAATATTTCTTCAGAAATAACTTTTGTATCTGAATTGATAGTTTCTATTTGTTCATTAATTAAATTTTCAATACGTTTTTCAAGCATTGGATGAGTGAAATAACCTTTACAGAAAAAAAATTAATCTTAACAAAAACAATAAAAAAAAAAAGAAGACATACTAGCTGCAAATTGACGAATATCTTCAGGTGTTTGTAAACAAGTTTGCCGAATAAAATCTCGTATTAAAATATTTAATTCTGGATGTTTTTGAAGATAACGTTCATGTTCAATACGTTTTTGGATCTACATAAAATAAGAAATTAAATGAAAATAGAATGAGATAATTGAAAAACTACTTTTAATTCATTGATTTTTTTTTGTTGTTCAGGTAATAATGCACCTTCATCATATTTTTCTGTTGAATGTGGAGGATCATCAATTGGTTTTGCATCCATTTTTTGTTAAGTTGATTGACGTGAAGCGAAAACAAGTAGAGAATATTTGTCAACCATGAGTCTGTCATAGGTTTTTAATGTTGCTTAGGAACAATGGACATGATTATCAATAAAAAAGAAATAAGATCAAAATATGAATTGATTAGTTTTAAATGAAAAAAATAAATTTGTGCAAAAAAAGACAAGCAAGTTCTTTCGAGTGTTGAATGAATACGACATCTATTCAATGGTAACTAATGAGACTGTGGGCATGAGTGTGGATGCTGCTCATGTGAAAAAAGTTGCCGAAAAATCATATTGAAGTCGATTAGAAAACGATTATCATCAAAAAATAATCCGAAAAATAAAAATTCTATTGATAAAACTCCCTCCCTCAGACAAAATAGCAGCTCATAGAGTTCTCCAATTTATTTTTAAAGTTCCAGAATTCGAAATCAAGCTTCCTGTGAGAGTGAGGTCTAGCTTTGGCTGCGTCTGTAAGTTGGGGTCAAGCTGAGGCTGAAGATGATATTTTATAGTATGAGTTAGTTTCGCAGTGGCCGTTCATAACAATATAGTAATGTGTAGAGTATCAAAAACATCATTTATATAAGATTTTCTTGATCTATGTAGGAAATATATAGGATACTTATTTCAGATAGGAGACATTTTTTAGGTCTAAGAAAAAACCTGCGACAGCACTATAGATTGTGAACTGTTATTAACTACACACAATTGCATGGAATAAATAAAAAGTACCGTTTAATTTTCTAAAAGAATAACACAACAAAGTTCCTTCTGAAGAAATAAAAATAAAAGTGAAATGTGTTCGATTTATTTGCCAACTGTTCTATACATACACATCCACATAATTATAAAAAAACCAAATTGAATAAAAATCACAAAAAAAAATTATTTTTGGGTTGATATTGTATACATAAACTATATCTTTTCTAATTACTATCATACTATCTGACAGAACTGAAAGTATGTAATTAAAATATTCACAAATATAAAAACATGATAAAATACTTTTTTTGATTTAAAACTAATCAATGGATCAGTTGCCATTTTCTATCGTTTGTTTTGTTGTCATTGAACTAATTATAATCAAAGCCTTCATTACTTTCAACGATTGTTCACTAATCGTTTTACTTTTGGCATTAACATTATCAATTAAAATATTAACTCTATCTATATGAATACTATTTTGATTCTTTTTTCTTGCATATGGTAAACGTTCACCAACAACCGTAATAATCGAGCTGACTTCATGTAATTAACGGTGTAAATCTTTTTATTTCATGGAAACATCTTCTTTTCTTCTTGTTCTCCTCTCGAGAAATTGCTGGCTAACTTTATTCACGTGTGCACGTACGCGATTTTCTTTTTCTAGACGTTTTATTGCTGTTTTCTTAGAATTCAGATTTTGTTTGAACAGCAGCTGCGAACTTCGAATTGGTATAATAATTTCTTTGTTTATGTGTACCTAAACTTAAAAAACAAAACAGCATCTGTTAAGTTAGAGTAGGATTAGAATGATACATATTTTATGACTAGATTCATTATCAAGAAATTTAATACCATCATATGTTGATCATAAGTCATTAATTGATGTATCAGTTAATATCGACCGACTTATTGAAAAATCACGTTCGATATCACCGTTATCACGACAAATAACAAAAATATTTTAACAAGTTAAGTTAAAGTAGGATTTTTGCAAAGACCTATCCGGTGTTGTCATTGCCAAAATATCATTCCAATAATACATTGTCATTATCGAAACAATCTTCGTTTTTTTTTTAATGAACTATTTTTCATCAATATTGTCAAGTGGATAATTTCACTATATATCAATGTATAATCTATTTCACTATCACTTAATAAATCAAGAAAAGTTCTGACAATGCGTATGAGTTCATCGATATGACGAGCGGATTCAAATGAAGGATATAAAATTTGTACATCAAGTAAAAATGAATTTTTCAATGGTAGGTTTGAAAATACTGACTTACTCCATAAAAATTCTTTTTTCACATCTTCAAAAAATGTTTCTCGTTTTTTTGTGTAAGATGCATTAGTAATTTACGAGCTTCTTCTCGTAAAAATAAAAAGAAACTACACTAAATAACATTGTTTTTAATATAATTTTTGTATTACCTATACGTATTCGTCTATTATTCAATTGTTTTTCATTCATTTTAAAATCTAAATCCAATAGTTTACGACGAATTTTATATCAAATGTATTCAGGTTACTCTCTAGATGATATACATATATATGAGAATATCATGGAACATGTTTCTTCTTATTCTTTATCGACTTAATTGCATATCAAACAATCTGTATCATCGATATAACTATGTACGTGTTATATACCACAATATAAAAAAAGAAATTTTCTTTTTTGATCTATTTATCGACTTGTTCTTAGACGCAAGATTCTTTATTAATCTTGAATAACTGTAAGTATTTTATATAATAACACTTTCAGGTATTTTTTTAATGTATTCTTTTTATAAACGTGTCGACTCAATGTACCATATTTGTTCCACGTATAATAAATAATAGTAAGTGTCATGTTACTCTATATTATATACCATAGTTCAGTCAACCCAATATACTGTTCGACATTGCGCAACTATTTTTGTCGACATTCAACTCTCGATAATCTAATCTAAGTTGTTGAAAGCAGCCATATATCCTTCTACATCACCAACGTCTGTCTAATAAGCTTCATTTTTCAGAAAGCTCAAAACCATTGTTTTCCGAATACTTTTGAATATATTTCCGAGGTATTTTATAGATTTTGAACAGAATGCATTTAAAGACAATTGTTTTTTATGTTATCTATCATACAATAGTTTTCTTTCCAAGACGAACGATGTACGTGACCAATCATATTTACTCCATCCTCTATGACTTCTAATGGAGCGATATGGTTGAATGATTCGAGAAGATCAATCGAAAGGAAGAAAGTTAGTAGATATCAACATAGTTAAAAAAAATAATAATTATATCTAAGAAATTCCATATATGTCAAATCTGGAAGTTTAATTCAATTCGAGCTTCAAATTTCAATATTCGAACACACACGCTATCTCTCTCAATGAAAGTATCATGGAAAATCATTTACCGATTTCAGACAGAAGTTAGAATTAAAGTCAAGTTAATTAAGTTCGAGCGAGAATAGATCGTGATTTGAATGTTTATAATGCTTTTATAATTTGTAAGGATATGAGAAAGATATTAAGATATTACGTACATATAGACGATTAAAACTTGAAACTTGAAGAATAGTTGTTCAATTGAATTCAACTTTCAAGTGTAATACTATTGACGGCATGAGCTAGTGAATTAGGTTGCGACCTACTAATTATTATTACTCGGTTATTCTTGTTGAGTTTCTAGAACGATGATAATTCTAGTTAGAATATTTTGTAAACAATACAAAGAATGATAGACAAAACATTTATCATAGATTGAAAAGAACACAAACATATTTTTTTATACTAGAGTATCGGCAGTTTTTTTTTCTTAGTCCCCATCGCCATTATTCAACTGACTTCATCATATTTTAATATGTTTTCAAGTCGATGGATGCGAAAATTTTGCTCGATGATGATTGGTGTGATCATGGCATTGCGCCTTCCATTGACAAGGAATACGATGATCGTTCTCATGTTGAGTCTTCGATGAATGAGAATATTCTTTACGATGTGTTGCATCTGCAATATCACGGCATTGCGAGCCCCATTTGCATGGCTTTCGTTGATTATGATCACTATTCTGTGTTCTTTCTTTCGTTTCAAAAACTTCTTCACCATGCGAAAATTTGATTAGGTGTTCGTTCAATGTGTTGTGACACCGATGTTGACCACGACATGGTATAAGAAAATACGGTAAGTCTGTATGACGATACCGAGATCGATGAATTGGATCATCTAAATTTCTACAGTTCTTGTCGAATTTACAATTGGGTACTTGATGGGGCTCGTGCGTCAAGTGTTCCTCTGGATGTCGACAGAGTTCAGCAAATCGACATGGATGTGAGTATTTTAAATTGTGATTAGTTCCTTTTTCTGAAAATTGTAGAAGACAATTTACACCGTTAAAACAACGCTTGCGCTTATGATCTTGTTGTTTGCCATCTCGGGAATGTGAAAATTTTGCTCGATGTTCACGACTTTGATCGGTACAATCAGAGCCCCATCCACATGGCGTACGGTCAACGTTTTCTTCTTGGTCGCTTTCATCTCGTTGATCAGCAGGATGGTAAAAGAGTTTGCAATGTGAATGATCTCTACGTTGTCGACACTGTGATCCCCATTTACACAGCGGCTTTGCCGCATTTTCATTGCGTTGATAATGTGATGAAATCGACAATGCTATGCAGAACAAAATAGGAGTTCCGATATTTAACTTATCACATAAGTTTTCTATTTTTTGTTTGTGTTATTTCGAACTCACTCTAAAATACTATGAGGAACTTCGTATCTCAGAACTTTCTTCTAAGCTTGTCTCCTTTCGTGCATCCTTCTGTTACAAATAATCCTACTTCTCATTTCTTTCTGGTCCAAATGCATTTAACATTTTTGAATTTTATTTTGATTTATGATTTTTTTAACATTCGAGATTTTTAAATTTCGGAATCTCAAAAGATCAAGCAAGTTTAACACGTTCAAAAATTCCAACGAAATCTGAAAATCTAAAATCAGCTTCTTTTGTAGTTTTTAAGGACCGAATCATTTTAGTCCGCTTTGCAGCTATACTGAAAATTCTGAAAATAAAATCAAAAAAGACATGTCTTATCTACAAGTAAACAGAATGATTCCATCATAACAGCACGATGATCTAACACGCGTTATTCTTAAACAGAGACAATACCAACAACTGAATCAGTCCATCCTGTCTCAAATAGCTAACTTAAGACAAAGTTTGATTCATCTAGTTTAACATAGATCTATTTCCAGCGTAGAAAAAATATGTAACTGCAGCCAGCTATTCAAAAATAATAATCGATCACTATTCGACAATTTCAATGTTAAGACTCATATATATGTAGAGCCTTTTGAAAACTCAACATGACGCTCTTCCTAGTGCTCACTTGGTAAGGTCGGCAAGAATGCCATACACCATTCGTAATTTGCCTTCAAACTAAAAAGGTAGATGAATTATTCATTGTCAAGAAAGCTTTACTCTAGAAATAATGTACCAACTGATGAATTCTTCTCTTGTTATCTTTTCATTGTTCTTTCGATTGTGAAATTTCATGATATTGTTCACAATTGATTTTGTCACGTTCGTATCAGTTGAGTCTGTTCGATCTTTCAATTGAATTACCGCTTCCAAAAATTGAATCAATGCTTCTCTATCCACTTCGTCATTATTATGAGCACATATTGCAAAAACCTTTCAATATCGAAAAACAGAGAAATAATCGAATGTTTTTGAATTCAAAAAAAGATACATACCAATGTTACTTTTTTTTCCATATCGCTGGGTAATGCTAAAGAAATTGCTGACATGAATTCGACAAAACTTATGAAACCATTATGATCTCTATCGATAATTGGAAATGAAAGGTTACAGAAATGTCGTGGGTCACCTCTGAATAAATCATAAGGAGAGGTCATACAATTTGAATAACATTCGACTTTCTTCGAATCACTTACTTTGGATAGAGCTTTTGAAATTCAGCAACCCATTCATTTTCGTTCAATTCTCCATTAGGACTAAAATAAAGATGAAAATAGTAATGAAGCCGTGAAATTTTCGAAAGCATCTAGTCGTTTACTGTGATTCAATGAATTCTTTATGCCATTTTTCGATGTCTGTATTGCTCAATGTTAAAAATTTATTTTCTATCTTAATATCTCGTATTTGTTGCAACGATAATTGTGCTAAACAAGAAAATACATATTTATTCCAATGTTTCATTTCTTTAATATTAACTACTAGTTCTTTTATATGACTTACTTAACGACATATGATAATAATCTTTTGTCGTAATAATGCCTCGATGAGCATGATAAATAACACAAGTGTCAGGTTTGTGATCCAAACCGACGTGTAAATCATGATCGATCACGCGAAAAATATCTTTTTTCACTTCACTCTTCTGTCCAAGCTTGTACAAATATGTGAAGCATCGCAATTGTTTGTACCAATTCACTCGATTTTTCTCTTCCCATTCATTTGAAATATGTAATAAATAAATATCATTATCATAATATTTTTGAACAAAATCATCGATCGATTTTAAATTCTTTAAGAGAATTGTTGGATTTGGTGTTTTAGGTGTTTTTTCATGTATTTCATCTAGCACTTGTTGATCAAATTCACTTAAAGATTCAATTTTACTCATTATATATGCATTCGATTTGAGAAAATTTTTAATTGACATAACAGAACATGGATTTTCCTCTTCGAATTTATCCAATAAGTCAACCATTGTTTTTTCATCAGTCTCACCGCGACGAATATTTTCAAGTAATGAGGCAAGTTGACGTTGTGTTTCTAATTCGACACCTGCCAACTGTTGTTGTCGAACATATATTATTTCAATCCAATCCGACAAAATCCAATTTTTCCACGGTTCAATTGTGCCAAGAAAATCATTCATCATTCGTTTTCCTTGAATGATTTGTTCAAAAATATTTTCAATACGAGTCACTACGCTGTTGCTTACTTCTTTGATCATTCTAAAATACGTAGAAAACAATCATCACAGAACTTAGGATATTTTCGCTTTTGTCTTATAGAATGAACTTATTTTTTGTCTCGATAGAAGATTATTCCAAATTTATTTCATAGAGACATGTGAATACACGCTACGTTTAACTCTTACTATTAAGTGCAATAAACAAATGTAAATCTTTAGCAACTTTTGAAAATATACCATCGATACATAGTTTGAAAAATTATTTTGAAACGTGAACAACGGCTGGCTCAGATGTTCGAACCCGATAATATACATATATATATCTATAGCAAGTAACAAAAAATTTTGGAGATCATACTATAGAACATAAGAAAACTTCTTTGATTCCATGAGTAGAAATGGGAAATTTTTGGCGATTGGAATCCTTGAGATCTGCTGTGACTACAGTAATGAAGTAGAACTTAGACATTCATCAAAGTCTATCAAATTAGACGTTTTAAAATCATACAGCAATATCACTATGTAGTCCTATTGAAAGTATGACATGTACATATATGATGTTCGTCAAAATCCATTGAATGTCGCAATATTCTTGCCGAAGTCAACTGTAATCGCTTAACATAGGATTCATTGATGTTTCTTTCATGAATGAAAACCATTGAACATTCTTCTATCGATAAGAAAAAACAGTCTATCCAATAAGAAAATGGGAATCTAGTTATACGTGCGAGAAAATGTTTTATTTTGCGATTTATGGATGAGTTATGTAAGGGTTCGTTATCGGTAACAGTTTATCGGACGAAAGTCACGCCTTATTCACTTTAAAATTATTATTAAACTTGACCGTTAAATGTTAACAAGTATCATATTAAACTCTCGAATTAGATGCTGTATGGAACAACTGGTATACAGACACTTGAAGATTTGAACAGTGTTCAAATGCGCAAAGCCTTAAAGATCGAAATGTTAAAAGAGTTAATCTTGATTTTCTAGAGGATAATTCATGAAATTTTATTATTAGTTAACAATTTCAGTTCCATCGATTGAAACATTTATGACAAGTAAGATAAGAAGAATTACATGCGGTTGACGACTATCTCAAAGATATGCTGCAAGTTTCCAGAAAAAGAACGTTTGCTTACTCTTCACTAATGTAAAAGTTTGTTAGAAATGTCAAAAACGATGGGTTAGAATCAGAACTGGATACTCTTCGCAAACATGAGCTCAGAAATGATTTGTCAACCTTTGTTGGGGAGTAGTAAAGAAATCTTTCAAAAGCTTTTAAAGAAATTGTTTAAATGAAGAATTTTTTCCGTGAATTTTAGCATCTTTATCTTTGATATCCAAAGTCTAAATTTCAATCTTCATTCATATGTCAGCGTATAGGACAACACCTGCTCTACAAGATGTACTGTTCCAGCTTCTTTAAATGTAGAAAGTAGCGCCTGAGAAAATACTTATAATATCACTGGTGTAAAGAACATCAAATTCTGGTTATAATGAAAAAAATAGTTTTCATCGTTCTGAAATACTTTCATATGGGCAAAAAAAGTCAACAAACATTTTGTCTTAAAACTTTCTACCTATCTGTTATACGTAAATATGCTATTCACCGTTGAATGCGTAATTCATGTTTGAAAATTTCTGCCATTCGTTGCAATGGATATAATTCAAATTCCAGCTGTTGTCCTTTTCCATCATTTAACTTTTTTAATAGAGATGGTACCTTTTTAAATATATTGAAAACATCATCGATGGTATGTGGAACATCTTCTATCAAAATATCACCAGAAAAGTTAATTTTCAATGATTCAAATTTAGAATTTTCGTTATGCGTATGCTCCAATCCACCTTCACCACTTGCTTCAATGGCGACTTTTTTTAATGACACTGCTAGACGACCCTGAAGCTCTTCGGCTGCTTCAGAACTGGACAGAATTTGTTCAAATGTTGCTGCAACTCGTGCTCCCCATATAATGCCAATAACACAATGTGTTGCGTTTCGATTTTCTAAGGCATCGGATGAAAAATAATTGTATAAATCAGCACTACTTATCTGTAAATGTTCTTGTTTTGTTTTGAAATTTAGCATAAATGTAACTCGAACTGTTCGACTATCGGTTTTTGTTTGATTTAAATATTTCGCTGAACCTTCAACTTTAAGTAGACCAGCCAACAGACTTAATTTCATGGATGCTTCAATATTGAGTTTATTGAACGTCTCTTTTTGAGACAGGTTCTCATCAACAATATAATCTGAGTTGGCAGAATCAGTTGTTAAAACTATTGATGGTGGCAATGGTCGGTTGAATAAATTTCCACCTTCAAATCGATCACTACGAATATCATATAAACTGCCAATAAATCCATGTCGACCAAAGGCTTGTTTTGTTGTCGTTCCACCAGCAGCACTGGTCATTTTCTGGCTGCTAATAAGCAATAGTTTGAATCTGAAATTGTATAAAAAATTACATGGAAAAGTTTACTTAATGTTGGATGCTGCTGACAAATTCTTCGAAGTAAACAATTTTCTGATTCTATGTATACCAACTAGATTGTGTTTTGTCAATAAAATATTTTTTAAAGAGAAATTAATCAATAATTAGCAGCTGAGCTTCTTGATATCATTTTAATGCAATCGTTCACGTTGATTATATCGAAAAAAGACAATTATTTTCAAATCGCTACCAACCCTACATAAAACTGTGAAGATGACTCAAAAATCATACGTAGAATAGTATCGACTCCACTAATTACTCAAGAAACTCAATAATCGCCTCACAACAATGGACTATTGACCGTTTCGAAAAATAAAACATCCAGCATAAACCCTATGAAATTAACATGCGAAACACGGTGGAGCAATTTTTATGGTACATGAAAATCTCGATATATAAATCATCATTCTTGGCTAGGTCAAAGTAACATCATGTCAAAATCTCTGACACGTGCTGAAATAGGAGTATATGACTACATTGGAAGGAAGAGAAAAGGTAGTCTCTTTGCACATTGGAATTTCAATTTCATTCAAAATTTGAAAGTTTTTTGCAGTTCAAAGTTCTGAAACCGAAACATCTAAGAAAAATACTTTACACTAGTAATCTTCTAATTTGAATAGCTACAGTGCTATGAATTAAAGTTTAGTTGAAGTAAAATGAGGCAAATCGAAGACAGAATTTTTGATCCAATCGTATCTCAGCCTTATTTTCCTACCTGAATGATCATGTTCATTCGAATTCGAATATTTTTCGAATTTATGAACTACTTATTTGAAAAATTAAAATAGAAGCTAAGGACCAGTGAGTCATTGCCAACACGTCTTCATATTTTTTTTAATTAAGCTTTTAATCAAGAAAAATATCGACGACTGATAGATTTTATATGATGTCGTAGGCGCCATTTTTGAAGAGCTTTTGTCTTCATCGACACCTTTTTTGAGACTCATTGCAGTTAGCAATAATCATTGGAGAAAGCAAAAGCAAAGAAAACAAGAAAAACATAGTGTGGTTGTGTATGCACAGTATCGTGTTCTGTACAAAGCAGAAAAAAAAGAATAATGAAAAAAGGGTGGACGAGAAAAATATTGTTTTTTTTTCTTCCAGTTACCTCTATCGTGTGGTTCTGTTCTTCTCAACGAATTTTCAATGTTTGGTAAGGAGAAAGAGGAACAGTCTTGGTAAATACCAACATAAGAGAAAGATAACATTGTAAGGAAGGAAGAATGACATCTGACTTGCATTAGAATCTGATGATTCATGCACATTTAGTAGTGCTCTCGCTATTTTTCATTTATCTGAGCTGCTTTTCGTTGAATGACGGCAAAACTGTTTTGATTCTCTTCAAAAGTGCATATAATTGTTATTGAGGACAGTGTTCATGGTTTATCGACATTTGACAGAATCTCTTTTTCCTAGATGTGCAACTTTCAAAGACAATATATTATCAAATATTTCTCACAACACATTGTCATTGCAAAGCCAATATTGTACTGGATGTCAATGTATTGAAGAGAATATATGCGCTTATTCATTTTCAAACAAATAGCCTCAATATCTTTAGAAGTAGACTATCTGGAAGTAAATGATTTATTCATTAAAAGATGGGACGTTCTCTTTGTAGCATTGTTGGACATGACGGTGAAGATGCGACTCAGCTGTCTGTTGCTCAACCAGGATGATCTATCATTTTCTCTAAGAAATAAAGTAGACATTCGCACGTTAAAACCTTTCTCAAAGGAAGACAAAATAAAATGAGGACAAGCTATAATTTATTTGCTGGGACTTTAAGGAAACCTTCCTTAGAAGTGAACTTTTTCATCTTTCATCCAATTTCAACCAAAATCTCCAGGATACTCACGAGTTATAGTCAACTCATTGGGTAAAAGTGCCCTTTACACGAGCAAGGTTTTCAAAATAAGGATGCGAGCTAATATGTCCGGGTAGTTTTAGATGGTAGAGTACGCTTCGGGTTAGGTCGTAATAGAGCCCGATGTTTGAATTCTCCATTGTTTATTTTTTAAAAAAGAATTTCGATAAATTCTCAAATTCGTGGCTAAAAAAAATTGCTAATTAAAACCAAAGATTTAGGTTTTTATTTCAGCAAAAGAGGAACTCAAAAATCATACTCTATTATGATCTAGCCCTAACTGTCTAGTGTGTAATAAAAAAAATGACCACTTTTATATTGAGTCTTTATTAAAAGATGTTTGTTCACGTAAATAGTTTGCTTGAAAAAACTGATTTTTGCACTATTTATCAAACTTCATTAGATGGCGTATACGCGGATATATCATATTGCTCATAGAAGTACATATCATGCCAAAGTTATGGTCATGGTTCCTTATGTGTGGATGATGGTGAGATAGGTATGTGAGTGAGGGCAAGACCTCTATTCTACTCATAGTCTACATCCACACCATACTCTAATAAACAATAGATTTTGTCTCATCTATAATAAAAATTCCATTATAGATAAAATACTATTTCTAATAGAAAACAAAAATTTTTTTGATGAAGAAAGAATTTAATCGATACTAATCTAATATATTAAAAATCGCAGTATTTTTTCGATAGATACAAAAGATAATTGAAGAAGAATTTACGATACTATTAACACATAACACTTCATAATATTCAACAATTGCAAGATGAGTAAAACATTTTTGTCAACGAAGGAAATATGTTTATAAGTTGATGACCAGTGTATGAAATCTTTCAACTCTCATATTTACAAATGAAAAATCTTGAACTATGTAGTACGACAAGTTATTAAATATGATTAACACTCAACTTACGATTATGTATAACTACAACTTCTCTCTCTTATGATTCAATAGAACGAATGACGAGGATTAAATCATGTTCCGTAACTCATCAAACCCAACGATAAATAAAAACAAGAAAAAGTTAGAATCTCTAGTGAAAATTTCGTGAAACTTCGTGATAGATCATGAAAATGATGTATTTCAA